GGTTCCGCGAATGCAAAGTCAAAAAAAGTCATCTTTTGTTAGAAACAATCAATGAAGTGGATCAGCGGAGGCCGAGGGAGCAGGCGGCAAATCTGTCGAAGTGCAGGCGACCAGCGCCCAACCGCTCTTGGTGATACGGCCATCGTGTCGGGCGCAGACTTTGGGGTTCAGGTTTGTTTCTCCCTGCCGCAGGCTTTTGAAAGTTTGGAGACTTTGGGTGTTTTTGAAGCACCTTGTCTTTACCACCTCAAATTTCCCACAATTTTTGCCAGCCTCACAGAACATGAGACGGCTTCTTTGTCCCTGCAAGTGGCCCTCACGGGAAGTCTAGGAAAGCGCCTCAAGGTCTTTACAGCACTGTGTTTGCGAACGGCTGTGGGCGCAGATAAGTGGAGAATGCCAATCTGCACGCGAAAAGCCGAAAAGCGAAAAGTCGAAATGCTGTAACAAAATGAAGATTTTGCGCGAAAGTAAACCATTGCAGCGAAAAGTCCAAAAGTACAGAGCAAAGCGAAAAGTCGAAAAGCCGCGAAACGTCGAAACGTACAGCAAAACAGGATAAGTCGAAAATTCAAAGCGTAGAAGCACAACATATAGTAGCAACAGCGGAAAAAAGTAGCAAGTGGCACACTTCTGCAGCATCTTGGCACCACTCTTGTCGGCAACGACAACCAGGGTCAAACCCGGGAAGAACCAACAGAAAAATCAAGTTAATTAAATGTTCGAATCCTCGCGGAAACCACCAAATTATGCGGCCTTAGCGATGCGAGCAATGCTTCGAGGCACGATAGTGCGAGGAGCTTTAAGGAATACCATAGCGCTCCGCCCCCATCGTTGAAGCCCTTTGAAGAGCTGCAAAAGCTCATTGGAAGCCGTACAGCTCTAGAAAACCACGACAAAACCATTGTCTTTCAGTGCTTAGTTAAAGATACGAACAAACTCCATAAGCTTTTTTCAACCCCCAAGCTCTTTTCAAAACCTAGCTAAAAGCCTATAACGCCCCATAAATCGCCAAATGCTATATCGTCTGGGAACCGTGAGAGGGACCCTTCAGGGATCTGCAACGCGAACCCAGAAGGGCTCAAACAACTCAAAACCTTAGGCACCAACACCCTGAACGAACAGCGGAACCCGAAACGCCGAGAAACACGAAACGTCCAAAAAGCGCAAGAAAACTCGAAAACGTCGAAAAAAAACTGAAAAGCACGAAAAGTCCGAAAAGTGCAAGAATACCCGAAAACTCGAAACGCCGAAAAGCCAAAACAGTCCGAAAAGTGCAAGAAATCCCGAAGAGTCGTAACGCCGAACGGCCCAAAAAGTCCAACAAGTGCAAGAAAACCCGAAGAGTCGAAAAGCCGAGCGAAGCCGTCATCCGGAGGTTACACCGTCTTGGCCGCCCATTTGCCGCCCCTTGCGGAGAAGGAAACATGGTGACAGAGAGAGCAGAGAGAGACGGAGAAAGAGAGAGAGAGAGAGAGATCCTGAGGAGCTGCGGGAGGCCGTGCTCAAGGAGCGGCAGGCGACGCGGCGACGCGGCGAAGCGAAAAAGCAGAGAAAGGAGAGAGATTCGCGCACTTTCTGCGAGGCCAGCGTTCCACCGGAGGAAGACCATTTCCCACACGTGGCAGAGGCACCGAAGCCTCGATGCTTGTGCAGGCGGAAGTCGTGGCAGTTGCGGTTGCAGGAGTTGAATCTGGGTGCAGCAACGGGAGTAGAGACTACGGCCGTGGATGCGCTGGAGGCGGGCTCAAATGCTGTGACTCTATGACAGCTGTGCCTTTCCGACCGTAGAGTAGAGCCTTCGCGGTTCAGAGGGTGCTTGAGGCTGCACTGGGACCGCCTCGGCCACAAACAACCTGACGGTCCCATGAAGATTCGACTGAGCCACATGCTCTTCTCATGTTGCGGAAAGACCCTGGCCTCTCATGAGCCACGCGGGACCAGAAAAGACTGAAGGCTCCGAGGGCATGACTGTGATGGTGGCAAAGAGTACGATGATGGCATCTATCGTGAACGGAAAGATGAACGGTGCAGAGGAGAGGAAGGTCTGCATCAGCCGGGAAGGCGAACAGAAGCAGTCTGCACATGTTTGGCATGAAAGCTCGGCGACGAACCATGTTAGAGCATTGAGGGGGCCAACTCGTCAACGGTTAACGGGGCCGCAGCCCGAGCTGGTCGAACATCGAAGGGACAGCTTGCAACACCGCGACTCGCTAGGGTCAGAGAGAGCGAGAGGATTCCTACTGTGCGCATCCACCCTAATTCCGCGGTGCGCGAGTGCGGGGGGTGAGCATTCGCGAACCCTCCTGGCTGTGTTGAAGACAGAGAGAGACCTCTTCGAACGAAGCTCTGGCTTTGGCCCGCGGCTCTATGCCTCTGCCTTGGAGAGCTTCAGCCTTGCAGAAGGGAAGAAGATACGGAGCTGTTGGCAAGTCGGTGCAGTCTGTACAGCCTGACATCACGAGTGAGAGTCTCGGTGTAGTGTGGTCGGTTTTGTAATCTTCTTCGCCTGTGGGGTGGCCGTCAACTTTCCTTCGCAGGGCTCACCGGAATTCAGCATCATAGGGAACGAGACTCGTATGTTATAGGGGAGAGGACAAGGAGAGAGCACGCCCTTGCCTTGCCTTGGGAGGTGGGCTCTTGCCACGAGAGCTTACGCGAGCACCTGGCAGAGGCGGAAACGGAGCTTTGCATCGCTTTGCAGCGCTGAGTTCTCCCCGTGTTTTGGACTTGTGAGGTGCAGGACAAGAAGATGGGCGTCACCGTCTTTTACAAGTCCTGCTGGGGCCGTACCTATGCACACTGCTGTGCTCAGGAGGAGACAGCACGGCGCTGTGCAGAGCAGCGACTGCAGAAATTCCGCTGGTGAGGACCGCTGGAGCGAGTTGCCCGGTGTGGCTTTGGAAGCGAGCCCTTGCCACGCCTTCAGCCAGGCCGAGGCCAGCTGCTCAGCCTGTCTTCTGTCTTCTTTAAAGCGCGCCTTTCTTTCGGTGTCCTCTTTCAGGACTGGCTGGTGCTGTGCCTCCCGTACGCACGAAGCCTGGAGCTCGTGATGAATGATGGCGGACGCGGCTGGGACAAGGCAGGACAGCGCGCAACTTGTCACAACTTGTCCTGCTGGAATCATCCGAAGCAGTGCTGGAGGCCCCGGGCGGGAAGAATTACAAGGTGATGACTCCCGGTGCTACGCCGAGAGTTGAGATCTGCCACCGAAGCTAGAGGCAGACCCCGCCGAGGCGTCTTTGTGTTGACCCACGGCCACCTGGACCCCGTGGCCTTGCCACCCCAGCAGCCGCAGAACCTCACCGCGGAGGCCGCAGCAGGGCAGCGAAGAGATGGAGATGGAAAGAGATGGAAAGAGATGGTGGGAGAGGAGTCTGGGACTGGCAGAAAGTTTCTTGCTCCAGGCGGTGGACGGCTCGCGGGTGCAGCTTCTCTGGGAGCCCGGCAGCCCAGCGGCTCCCAGCGGCTCCCTATAGCCTCCAGCCCTTTTGGAAGCGAGGCCGCCGGCGCTGGCGGACGGGGAAGCCCCGGTGAAGTGCCGGGGTCTTTGAATTTTCAGGGAGGCCCGCGAGCACTTCGAGGCACTTCGCTCTCTCAAAGACATGCGCAACCGAGGCTACCGCATCTTCCGCAACGGTCGCCTCATCGGCCAGACCGAGACCACGCCCGCTGACTCACTGGCACTGCTTTGTGCGTGCTTCTGCTTGCCGGAAGAGGCCCTCTGCCCCGCTGAGAGTGAACCAAAACGAACGGCGAGGTCCTGCTATTTCCTGGACATCAACCTCTTTGCATTCACCGACTACGAGTACTCTGTCGCTGTTCCTGGCCGAGACAACTGAGGGAGTGGAACAATGTTGGGAGAACAGCAGAAAAGGAGCAGTGCGGCGGTGCTTGCCGAGCTTGGTTGCCGCGGCCGAGGCTGTCAACGGCCAGGACGTTGCCGGGTGAAGGGACCCAGTTGCTGAAGCGAGCGCCTTTTTTTGAAGGGTCCCTCTGCTCTCCGTCAAAGCCTTGTGACAACGTGACAACGAGCTAGATGGGCAACGCTGACAGCTCCTCCAAGGCCACTGAGCGATGCGGCCAGTGTGAAGACCAAGCTGCCAGGGCTGCCCACTGCACCCAGGAGAGCTCGGAAGAAGCAAAAGCTTTCCGTGAAAAGAAGCGCGGCTCTCCCCAACCCCAAACGAATGCCGTGCAGGAACCTGCGCGCCAACACCCGGAAGGAGCATGGGAGCCTCGTGGTGCGCCGGGCCTGTCGCTTGAGAGAGGAGGTCTTTTCGGCCCAGGCCCAGGCGCACTTTCTTTTTTTTTTTGGGAGGTCTCCCTGGAGTGGGAGCCGCCCGCGGACTGCGGAGGCGCGCCCGTGGCTTCCTACGAGGCGCCGCGCAGAGCGAGCAGCCTGAACAAGCGCCGGCTAGCCGACGTCTTGGCAGATCCTTCGAGACGGGAGCGTCATCGACATCTACGAGGCGCACTTGGGAGAGAGAAGCGGAGCGCAGCTTCTCTGCCTCGGCTCTTCCGTCTCTCGCTGACTGTAAGTGCAGGTGCCGAATGCCCGCATCCGCAGCGAGGCGGAAGCCGCGAAGCCGCTGGACCCGGAGGCCGCACCGAGTAGAGTCCCTAGAGCCCTAGAGTCCTCTTGGAGCTGCGACTTCGACTCTGAAGGGTTCCCCCACGGTCACGCAGAAAATGAACAAACGCAAGCGACCAAGCGGTGCCTACTGCGGCCTACGGCGGCCTACTGTTACTCATGGACTCATGGTGCGTGAAGCCTTCGTATATCGATGTGATTTTCTCAAGAAGTGTGTTCCATGTAGATTCGATGCAGATGTTCCGACATAACATACCAGTCTTGATATAGAGAAAGGGGTTGGAGACGTGTCCTTCGTCGAGGAACCAGGACCAAGCAGAATCTCCCACATCACAGGAGTCGCATGCTCTCGGCCTCGGCATGCCGCCATCCTCCATCGCAACGCCCAGCGAAGCAGAGTAAAGCACAGCAAGGGCAAAGCAAAGCACAGCACCAGCAAAGCAAGCCTGAGGCACCACTAAAGACAAATCAGAGACGAAGCTTCACCACGAGGAGCCTTTTCCCAAGTTGGGGGATGGTCGTACGGTCTGAGTCATACTACAGTGCTATTTTTGTAGTATGTTGAGCCGTTTCGGCCTCCGGAGGCCGCCGCCGCACGACGCTGGGTGCGCTGGGCCCTCGGTGGTGCTTTGAGCCCATGTCGCGGCTGGGGCACTGCCCCCTGCGCCCCCACCCCCCCTCGCTGCGCGGAGCCCAGGAATGTGCGAGCGATCGGCTCTTTCATCCGAGGCTCGACGTGCTCCTACTCCAACCTGAGCTGGTTCAAGGATCCGCGCGGGGGAGTTGCGAGAGTTGGACTTCGCCGTTAAGGTCTCCTTGTAGCAAGTGGGGAAACAAACAGGGGGCATGTGCGGCTTCATAGCGACTCGTATGGTCTAACCCCGGCAATTCTTGCCGACCCTATCAGATTAGGCCGTAGACAGACATCACAAGAGGCAAGCCTGAGTGGATGGTTGCCGGCATGGGTACATGCTGGGAGGCACGTCAGGTTGGTACCCTTCGACAGAGGTCTTAACAGTGTGTTGCGAGAGGGAATGAGCCTTGTTCACGCGTTGCATTATGTCAGTGCAGCATTATGTGCTATCAGCACTTCCCGACGATGTGTCTCTGTGTGTGTGTGTGTGTGTGCGTGTGTGTGTGTGTGTGGGTGTGGTGTGTGCGTGTTTGTGTGTGTGTGTGTATGTGTGTGTGTGTCTGCGAAACGCGAATATGGCTTGCCTGAAACCCAGGAA